GCCTTGGTCACCATCGTCCTGCAGGCGTTTGGCAAATACCACGATGGGGACTTCAAGTAAGGCCAGGCTGCTGTGCAGGCAGGGAGGGGGTGGCCGGGCGGGCCTGGGGGTTCGTGGAAGGTGGGCAGGACTCAGCAGGGCCAAGTTCCTTTCCTTCCCCATCTTTTCGGGAAACGCTAGGCCGTGGCAAACAGACCCAGAAGGGTGGTCCCCTTGTCACACGTGTGCCCTGAGGGCCCAGGGCTGCACGGCCCGCAGGGCTGGGGTTGGATGTAAGGTCACTGTGGCCAAGGGAGCCGAGCTCTGCCCTGGGACGTGCCCTGTGCTGGGTCCACACCCCCCACACGCATGCTCACAGGTGCACACTCACACTCACACTGCTCACATACATGCACCTGTGTGTACCCGTGGGCTCTCAGCGGGAACACACTCATGTGCGTGTGCACACACATGCTCACGGCTGCACGTGTGCGCACACACATGCGCACTCATACAGTCACAGGCGCATGCGGGCACCCACACATGACTGGGTCCACATGGATCCGTGGGCAGGAGGAGGGCGCAGCCAGGCTCCTGCCTGAAAAGGGGCTGAATCTGGAGACAGGAGGGCGGCGGGGGAGGCTTTGCAGGGAAAACAACCTCGTGTCCTTACTGACTCAACACGGGATCCCTGGAGGCCCCCTGCCGGCGCCCCCCAAGCTCCTCAGCCGCCCCTGTGCCCCTCGGGTGACAGCTGCTGGTGCCCAGGAAGGGGGCACAGGCCGATGGCCCAGCAGGTATGGGCGGGGAGGGGACAAGGGGGCCCGGGGCTCGCCCTGACCCCAGGCGCCTGCTCTGGCCCCCAGCGTCCACAGCGGCTACCTGTACGTCACACTCATCTACAACGCTTCCGTCAGCCTGGCCCTCTACGCCCTGTTCCTTTTCTACTTCGCCACCAAGGAGCTCCTGCGGCCCTTTGAGCCTGTCCTCAAGTTCCTCACCATCAAGGCCGTCATCTTCCTCTCTTTCTGGCAGGGTGGTGGGGCTGCTGAGGGGGGTGCTGGAGCCCAGACAGCTGGTCCACACCCCCACACCCCACCTCCACCACTGGTTCCCTGGGTGCCCTCGGGCCCTGCTGTTCCCTGGCTACAGCAGCCGGCTCCGCGGGAGGCTGGGTGCAGGGGAAGTGGCGGGTTCCACAGCCAGCAGGTCTGGCCTGGCGTCGGGGGAGAGAACACGCAGCGGGGCGATGGAGCCCTGCCCCAGCCCCCACTTTTCAGAGGACAGTGACGGGGTGGGGCCAGGGAGAGGTCCAGACAGGCACTTAGGGAGTTCTTGGTATCTGCTGTGCCAGGGCCCCAGCCCTGAAGGCGCCCTTCCCCTCTGAACCCCAGGCCCTGCAGATCCCCGCCAAGCCCATGAGGCTGGCTTCAGCGGGAACTCTTGGCTGGGGTCAGCTCTGGTCCAGACTCCCGTCCGGGCAGGTGTCTGAGTGGCTGTCATCATCCCCCAGGGATGCTGCTGGCCATCCTGGAGAGGTGCGGGGTCATCCCTGAGGTCCAGGTCATCGATGGGGCCAGGGTGGGGGCCGGCACGCTGGCTGCTGGCTATCAGAACTTCATCATCTGCATCGAGATGCTCTTTGCCTCCATCGCCCTGCGCTATGCCTTCACCTGCCAGGTGTACTCGGAGAAGAAAGAGAACTTTCCAGGTATGCTGGGCCCTGCCAGCCCCGGGGACAGTGTGGGTGTGGGCCTGAGGTGGGGCGGGTCCAGCCCCGCCGTCCTCTGTCCTCCATCCTGCACACGGTCCCTGGAGACATCAACTCGACAGCAGGGAGACAGCCCCACAGGAGGACCGCGGCTCCAGACGGGTGCCTCACCTGCATGTGGCCCAGGGAAAGAGGACCCAGGCAGGCCGGCCGCAGGGGCCAGTGGGCAGGTGGTCTGAGCTCTAAGTGAGATGGGCCAGACCTGGGGGTTTGGGCCCCACGGTCCCTCGGTGATAGGGGCTTGGTGCCACCTGAGCCTGGGGTACCCCATCTACCACACCCCAGTGCCCGGGCCCCTGATGGGAGAGGCCAGATGCTGGCTCGTGCTGGCGGCCCTCATGGATGGCCTGTTTGGGGAGGGCTGGCCTGAGCCGGGTGTGGCTGGTGAAGGGTTCACCCCAGGGCAGAGAGAAGATGGGATTTAGGCAGGGCATCTTCTCCTCTGCAAACCCTGGCAGGGGGGCTGGGCTGGGGTGGAGATGCTGGGTTGAGACGGGGGCCCTGGGACTCACCCTCTGCTGGCTGAGGCCAGGACCTGGAGATGCAGGAGCCCCAGCCCTGGGCAGCCCTGAGGTTGGTGGGGAGCAAGGCCAGGTCCCCGGGGCTGGGTGTGCGGCAGAGAGACGGCGGGGCCCCAGGAACACCCCTGCCCTGGCCCACACGCTGCCTGCCCCCAGCCCCCACGGCACCCATGCAAAGCATCTCCAGTGGCCTTAAGGAGACCATGAGCCCGCAGGACATCGTGCAGGACGCCATCCACAACTTCTCACCCGCCTACCAGCAGTACACGCAGCAGGCTACGCACGAGGCCCGGGGGCCCAGCCAAGGCAGGGATCCCTCACCCGGCACCCACCCCAGCGTGGACAGTGGTTCCGGCAGCGGGGGCAGGAAGAGCCGCAACATGGAGAAGAGGATGCTGATCCCCGAGGAGGAGCTGTAGGGGGTGCCTCGGGGTCACCAACCCCGGAAAGGACAGGGCCCCTCACCCACGAACCATCTTGCCAAAGGTCAGGCCTCTCCTGGGCACCTCCTGCCAGACCCACGGAGCCCCAGTCCCAGCCTACCTCCGGACAGTGCAGCAGGTCGCTTGGTGGCCCTGCCAGGCACCCAGGTGCCACACCATCGCCTGGTGGGCCCACGGCCCCGGAAGAGGGCACCTGAGCCTGTCTGACAAGCCCTGGGACCTGCGGGGCTCAGCTGACCATCAGGCCCCATGGGGCAGGGAGCCAGCGTGGCTTCCCTGGATGGACAGATCCCCAGCCAGGCAGCTGTGGGAGGACGGTCAGGGAGAGCAGGGCAGGCCAGCCCCGAAGGCCCTAGAGCTGCAGGCCTTGCAGGCAGGAGGGTGCCACGCGGGCTGCGGAGGTGGGGTGACCACGAACCTCGCTGTGGCCCCACGGAGGGAGGGCCGAGGCCAGCCCCCCATGTCAGCGGCCCCCACTGAGGGGCTGTGCCTGATGTGGGTCTGGGAGACGTTGGGGCCACTCCTGGAGGGTGCCTGGCGTCCAGTGAATCACGCTTATTTATACATAAAGAGTCTAGGTTTTTCTAGTGACTCCTGTGGCCTGTGTTCCTGCAGGGTCGGCTCCGCTGAATGAGGGAGGCGGTGAGCCCACGGTGCTGAGCCTGGGTGTAGGGGCAGGGTCCCCGCCCACCCCGGGGCCGCAGCTCCGAGCAGGCAGACCTCGAGCTGGGAGACGTGAGGCGGAACAGGCCTCCCTGCACGGCCACCAGAGCCGGGCCCTCGGCTTCCTCAGTGTTAGGGGCCTCGTGCCGGCCCCGCCCACACTGGGTTAACGAGGCCAAGGTGGGGCTTGTACCTGGAGCCTGCCTCCCCAGACCTCTCGCCCGGTGCCAGAGAGCTGAGGGAGTCTGGGACGCAGGAAGGGGACAGCAGCAGCAGGGAGTGAGGGGGGCCCTGGATGTCAGGGGCCACCACGTGGGGAGGGGGCACCAGGGGTGAAGAGGCAGCTGCGCGTTGCAGGTCTGTCCAGTGTGTCTGGGGTGCTCAGTAGGGTGGGGTGGGAGCCAGGGGAAGGTGCAGGGTGGTGGGCAGCGGCCCAGGTGCCTGAGGCTCAGCAGGCAGGCGTGGGGGGGCGGGCAGCACTGTGGCAGGAAGGCCTGGGGCACCACCAAGCCGCAAGCCTCCCGCGCCTCTAGGCCGCCAGCTCCCACATCACCAGGGAAAGAGAGAAAGGTGTCGAAGGTCTCGGAGAGACTCATCAGGGTGGGAACTGCCCGACAATCCAGGCCAGAGTCGGGTCACCCCCGCCCCCTTGCTCCTTGGGCCGGGGGACACCGGACTCAAGGCCAGCAGCCTCTCCCAGGGCCCAGCCGGCTGCCTGATAAGATAGGCCAGCCTCCTCCCCGCTGCCCGCTGGAAAGTCCCCGGTTGCCTTATCGTGCCCTCTGTGGCTGGCAGAGGTCCGCCCAGCCTGTCCCCACGAGGCTCCCATGGCCAGGCCCCCCACGTCTCACTCAGTTGATGTGGGAGCGGCCGTGGGTCTCCCCGGGGACGGGCCAACCAAGGAGGGTTTTCTGGATGTTGCAGGACAGAGGCAAGGTGCCAGGCTGCACTGTGAGTGAGGGGGGCGGTGCTGCCCCGAAGGCCCTTGTCTGGAGAGGCCCCCCATTTGGGGCCTGAGTTGCCCAGAACTGTGTTCCCAGAGGGTAAGGGGACCAGGGCCCCCCTCTGGAGACGCAGACACAGCATGGGCTCCTGGCTGCCGGGGGCAGTCCTGCCACCTGGCACTTTGAGGGGCACCCACTGTGTGCCAAGGGCTGGGCCAGGAATCGCACATGCAATCCTCATGGCAGCCCGGGGGAGGTGGCTGAGGCCCAGGGAGGCAGAGCTACATGCTCGAGGTCACAGAACCAGCAGGGGAGGCCAGCTCTCCAGCCAACCCTGCCCCACCGGCCTCTCTCCCTGCAGCCAGACTTTTCTGATGTAACACAGTAAGAGAAGGCCGGTGCTCCTGCCACCCGCGGGTGGGACAGAGCCTTGGAGCAGGTCAGGGGGCTGCCAGCCTCATGGGCCTGACCCTGCCAAGGGCGAGGTTGGGGGGATGGAGGGACATCTCGCCATCTCTGATGAAAATCAGGCACACAGATTCCAGGCTGCACTGTGTGGGGTGAGGAGTGGCCAAGGAAGGTCACCTGGCTTGTCCTGGCCTCGGTGTCCTCATCTGTGAAATGGCCCCAGAAATATACACCAAAGGGCAGCAGCCCAGGGAGCAGGCAGGGGCCCTTCACCGTGTCCCGGGAGCCCAGCGCCAGGCCGGGGCCTGTGCCTCCCAGCTCAGACCCACAAGTTGTTGTGGCCGGCTCTGGTCTCTGCGCTGTTGCTTGGGGGCCCCTGAGGAGTGCCAGGCTGGGGCTGGGGAGCCGCCAGGGCTGCTGCGGGGCCTGGCTTAGCTGGGGGAAGACACTGAGAAACTCGGGGCTACAGAGCCCAACGTGCTGAGTGCATGTGTCCCCACACCTGGAGGGGAGATCGAGGCTTGGAGAGGGAAAGGGCCGGCCCAAGGCCGCACGGGGGCCGGCACAGCGGCACCTCCCCGGCTACGAGGGGCCGCTCCGGTGGGCTCAGGCAGAGGTGGGGCGCAGGCTGCCAGTGGTCAGGAACTCACCTGACCCTCCTTCAGAGGCCAGGGCCAAGCACCAGCCGACCTGTCTGTCCTAGAGGGTCAGCGCGGTAGGGAGCGGGCAGCACCCTGAGGACACGCCCCCCCCCCCCCGCCTGACCCCGGCCAGGACCAGGCTGGGCAGGGCCTGGCTTTCAGGGGCAGTCTGCTCAGTTGCTCTGCCCCCTGCCCCAGGCAGGGCCTGTCTCTCCCAACCTCTGCAAGCTCCCCCTAGAGCCCAGCCAGCAAAGCCGCCCAGGGACAGGGGGCTGTGTCTGCTGACGGGGGCTCTGACCAGGGCAGGTGGGGGCCTTGGGAACCCCACCCCCCATCCAGGAAGGGAGTGGGCCTACCTCCACCTGTCCGCCCCCCACCCAGCCGGGGCCGTCCTGACACGCAGGCTCCAGACATCCCAGCACCTGTCCAACCCCGTGACCCGCTCCCAAGCAGCACCAGATGCTGCCACTGGGCCCCAGGGGAGGCTACGCTGAGGGGTCTGGGACATGGGGGGCACATGGGGCCCAGCACACCCAATGGCCCCCTGGGTGGTGGGGAGGTCTTGGCCTGAAGCACCAACCACGCAGCAAGATGGATCTGAAACCAGAAAACTCTTTATTGCAAAGGCACAAAAGCGTCACAGCAGAGATGCAATAAATTAGGTGTGGCAGGGGGGGCAGGCGCGGGCCACGCGTCGCACAAACAGGGGCCACGACGTAGGGTCTCTTCTCAATAATTTATATCATGATAAAAGCAGCACAAAAATAAATATTGAAATGAAACTGCTGAGGTGGCCAGAGGCGCGGAAAACCGGTGCTCAGCTTGCACGCGGGGCCCTGCCGCCAGGAAGCGCCAGCGGGCCTGAAGGGCGGGGGACGGGAAATCAGCCTGTTTTCTTAAATAAGAAATCCATATATTAAAACTGTGACAATGACATTTCAACGCTCTGGGAGGAGGAGAAGGAGGAGGAGGAGGAGGGACTGCGCTGGTCTCCCTGGCCTGGCCCAGTCCAGGGAAGGGGCAGCGGGGCCGTGGGATGGGGCGCTGAGAGAACTTGGGGGCGCCTGGCAGGCCCCTAGGCGGGGGAGGGGGGGGGAGGGCCCGAGGGAAGCGGTGGGCGGGAGCGGCCAACTTGGGCGAGAAGCCGGCGCAGGGCGACGGCCCTGCCCCGGCCACACCCCACGGCAGCTCTGCTCTGCTTGAGACCGACAGTATCAAACAGCAAGAGAAGGTACGAAATCTGTACGACAAAATGTGTATATAATTTTATATATATATATACTTTTCTCTCTTTTAAATATTCCCATGGTCCTTACTGATATCCAATGTGGATTACCTACCATGGCTCTGGCATCAACAGCTTTTTTACACTTTCACCCTTGGCTCGGAAGGACTGGCGCCCAGACCCCGTGCCTGCCCTCAGGGCACAGAGGGTGGCCAGCAAGGCCGCAGACGCTTTCTGCGGCCCTTGGGGCCCTGTGTCTTCCCCACTCCTCCGGCACACCGGGCGGATGACACCCTGCCCAGGGACTCTGCAGCCGGCTGGGGGTCTTCCTGGACGGTGGGGGGCATGTCAAGAGGAAACCGGGAGCTGGAGCCCAAGGCTGTGAGCCTGTGGTGGAGATCGGGGCTCACAGCCCACCCGGGAGCCAGGACCCCCGCTGGCACCAAGCACCTTCCCAGGAGGGGCGGGAAGGGGGCCTATGCCTGGCCACACGGAGGCCCCAGGGCAGCTCTCGGAAGGGGGCCCCCCCGCAGGGCCTCCGAGGTCCTCAGTGGCTCTGAGCGCCAGAAAGAGCAGGTGAAGGCTCCAGGCGATGATTAAGCACCAGGGTTGCAGAGTGCCCGCGTCCTCTGCCCACAGACCATCCAAGTGCTCCCGGAGGCTGGTCCCTGCCGCCTTCCCAGCCCACTGCCCACTGCCTGCATCACCATCAACCTTCCTTGTCCTGACTCCACGCCTCCCCAGCTCTCCCGTCTCCTCCAGCAGCGGGAACCACGGGCAGCGGGCACTGCCCGGCTCCCAGCCTGAGGCCGCCGCCGACTTCGCACCCACACAGAACATGCCCCCCTCCCGCCTCTCCCTCCCGGGGCTCAGCCTCCCCAGGTCTCCTGATGGAGGGAAACCCAAGGCTCGTGCAACTCTGACTGCACACGTACCTACGGCCCAACCGACCGCCTGTAACCAGCTGCTCCCCGAGACCCCCGTTACTGCTGGTGTGCTGGCGGGCAGCGGGCGCACGCACACGCACGCTCACATGAACACGAGTGTACAGGCACGCACGTGCTCGCCCGTGCACAGCCCCTCCTCCACCCGCTCACTAAGCATGGGTCCCTGGCTGAGGCTGCAGCAGGGTCACGGTGCATCTGGGCAGCACGGTTCCTTCCGGGACACCGGAGTGCGGTCAGGACAGTGAGGGGGTCCTGCCCTGCCTAGGGGGCCGTGCAGGGTGGACTGACGCACCGATGTGTTGACAGGCTGCTCTTGGGAGGAGCGGAGGACAGAGACCCTGCCGTCTGGGCTAGGAACCTTTGGAGGACCCTCCCTCCACACATCCCGACACCCCCAGCACAAGACAGAGCCCTGAGGACAGTCGGGAGAGAGCTGAGGGCCCAGAGGAAGGCGGGGGGTGCGCAGGTGTGGGCGGAAGGCGCACAGCACACGGGTTCTCGGGAACCCACCCTCCATCCGGCCACAGCCGGCGCCCTACAAGGTCCTCGTCCCGACGTGGGCGTCACGGCTGTGCTCCCCACAGCCCCCCGCCCGGACACTAGGAGGCGGCAGAGAAGGGCGCGGAGGTGGAGGAGAGCTCAGCGGACTTGACGATGGTGATGACGCTGGTGGTAGCCACCTTGGTGGGTGTGACGGGGCCACGGGCCACTGTGCGGGCGAAGGTCTGCAGGGCCTCGTACTTGGAGCGCAGGGCGTCCAGCTCCAGCCTCATGCTGCTGTTCTCACGTGCCAGCTTCTCCACCTCCTGCTGCAGCTCCACGCGCTGCCGCTCCAGCTCCTCCTTCTGTGTCACGCGCTTGATGCGGCAGCTGGCGGCGTAGCCGCGGTTCTTGAGTGTGCGCCGGCGCTGCTTCAGGCGCACCACCTCTTCCTTGGTGAGGCCCCGCAGGTGCTGGTTCAGCTCCCGCACCGACATGGACACCAGCTCATCGTCGCTGAGCACCGGGGCGTTCTCGCCCGCCTCCTTCTTGACCTGCGGGGCCACAGCGCTGGGTCAGGAGCCTGGCTGCCCCCTGCAGTCCAGGCTGGCCTGCCCTCCGCCACCAGGGGACGGGCGGTCGCTGTGGGATCCACCGCCACCACGCATGGTGCAGCACGGCGTTCCCCAAGGGGCCACTGGCTACACCTGGCCATGACCTGGTTGCCCAAGCTGCCCTCTGCAACTCTCCAGAGCCCGGTGCGTGACATGGGGCTGATGGCAGCCCATGCCCCCATGCCCCTCAGACCTGTCAGGGTCCAGCCAGGGGCCTTGGAAGGCGCTTAGAGGTGCAGAGCCCACAAATGCACTGAGAGAGCCCCAACTGCAGCCAGCCCCAGCTCTGCTCTGTGACATGGCCAGTCCAAGGACACATGCCAGCCCCAGGAGCTAAGGGCCCAGGGAGGCAGCCTGTGCTGCGGACTGACAGAGCCAGGCCCCGGGAACTGGAGCGCCCTGCCCACGTGCATCCCACCAGGGCTCTGCGGGACCAGAGGCCACACTGCCCACACCTGGGAGCACAGCCTGGCCGGCACGCGTCCCCCCACCCCACCCTCTGGACGTCAGAGCGTCTCCAGAGGCCACAGCCCCTGGCTCTGTCACCACTTCTCCTAGAGACACCTCCTCTAGCCAGCAGCCCCCTCCCCACTCCTGGTGACAAGCTTCCTTCCTCACACTCTGAGGGCGGCTCTGGGGCAAGGGCGCCTGGGCCGGAAGGGGTCCCTCCCGGGTGGTCTGCCCGCCCCACCCCGCTTACCTTCAACGCCTTGTTCGCTTTGGGATTAGTCGTCATAACCTGGGCACAGTCACCTGGACAGAACGGCTTGGAAATGGTGACTAGAAATTACAAAGCACAAAAACGAGCCTGGTTAGGTCCTGGCTGGGTACAGGGCAAGCTGCTGTCACAAGTGACCCAAGGCAGGGACGTTCCCCCGCAGAGCTGCTCCGAGGAGGCTCACCTCCCCATGCCACGTTGTGTAGCCAGCACCCCGAAAGCTAGGGCACCTGGATGGGCCTGAATCTCTGCCAAGGGGGCCCAGGGGATGCCCGGCCACACCCTGGACTCCAGTATCGGCCGGCGGAGCGGCCTGGTCACCCTGGTCTGGTGCCCAGCAGCCACACAGCTGTCCTCCGCCCGCCAGGCCAGGCCCCAAGGACCAGCGCCCTGGGCTGCCACTGGGCATGAGCAGCTGTTGCTTCCTGTTCTGACTCTCACCCTGAGCTCAGACGTGTGCACCTGTGAGGGACAGGATGCCACGTTCCAGGGCACAGCCCCCCTCCCGAGAGTGGCCACACCTAGCCCCCGGTGCCACTGGCCCCAGGGACAGCACCTGCCCTGGCCAGACCCCATCACTCTGGGCCCACCTGGCTCCCAGACAGGAAAGTGCCCGTTGGGGAGCCCCTGCCTTGCTGAGCTCACCTCGATGACAGGCGGGGGAGCCAGGCCCCACCCTCCCCAGCAGACCTACCTCGGCCAAGGGCACTGCAGCTGTGACATCACTGCCTCCACCTCGGCTGCCCCACAGCCATGACCTGAGGCCCAGAGGGTGGGCGGGGGATCCCTGCGCCAGCCAGCCAGCCCGCCCAGGACACGGGAGGTGGGAGCCGCAGCCTCTGGAGCTCACCGACCGTCTGGCGGGAGCTGTCCCCGCCACCCGCCAGCCCCCGCCGCCCGCCCTTCTCATTTTCGCGTCTGCATTGTGTCACACATTCTAATCATTCACGAAAAAGCCAGCCAAAGCATCCCAAGCATGATTCCCCTCTGATAGTTGCCATGGCGACCTTGGGAAGTAGCCAACCCCTGATGGTCGTCATGGAAACAGAGAAGCCCACAGCAACAATGGCTTCGGGCAGGCTGGGCAGACAGCAGGCTGTGGGGCAGTGAGCAGGCCCCTGTGCCCGCAGCCAGGGAAGGGACAGAGGAGAACGGGCCTCAGACTCCCGGGTGCATTGTGTGGCTGGCGTACAGAGCGAGGCCTGCTCACCACGTTCCAAATGCCAGACGGGGTGAACTGAGCAGAGAAACATCCAAGGAAGGGTCTCAGGCCAGAGACGGAGCCCTGGCAAAGCCTCCAACTCAGGGGTGTTGGAGACCTGGGTGGGAGCAGTCTTCACCTGCAGCCCCAGGACCCTCACCCACAGCCCACCCACCCTTCTCCACCGAAGGCTGCAGATTCCGAGGGTACCAGTACCCAGGCCTGTGGACCCCCAGCCCTCTTGGCAACACAGCCGCTCTCCCTCCCGGGCGCTGGTGTGGGAGCACAGGGCGGCAGTGGGGCTGGACAGCCTCCAGGAGACCCAGGCCCCCCCACCCCTTGCGTGGTCACACATATGCCTGGAACAAGCGCGCAGCAGCCAGGGGCCACCCTGCAGGGAGGTAAGAGATGCTTCCTCACCATGGCTTGACCCCTAGCATCGGGGGAGCCCAAACGAGTGCCCTCCAGGCCTGGCCCAACCCCGACGTGGAGGTCAAAGCTGGGCTGGAGAAGCCACCGGGAGGGAGGGCCATGAGAAACTTCTCCACGTCGAGCGAGGAGGGGCTGCTATCACTCCCAGCAGCCAGGGCATAGCTGCGCGGTGAGTCACCAGCTGTTTACAGAGCTGGGCTCACATTCCCACAGACCAAGGCCCCGCCCACCCAGTGGACCAGCCCCCACCCGATGGGAACCAGAGGGCAAAGGAGGGGCCTCCACTGACTCCAGCAGACCCTCACTGATGGATGCACTGGCCTGCCAGGGCCCGGGGCACATTAAGGGCAGGGACGCCTCCCCTGGGGACGAGCCCGCCCTGGCGTGGCGTGGTGGGGCGCCCAGGCGCCAGGCTGCACACAGGACTGGGCCTCAGCCCTCCACAGGCCCGGGCCCCTGCCCTCAGCGCAGGCCCCAGGAGGATCAGGGGTCCTCACCCACCAGGTCAAAGTCGCCTGGGCAGACCCTCTGGCCATGTCCCCCACCTGGGCTCCTGGGGCCCAGGACCACGGGCCAGGAGTCTGGGGGAGACGGGAAAGAGCAGCCCAACCAGGTCCATCTGGGCCTGACCTCAGGGAGCGTCCCCTGAGATCTCAGACCTTCTGTCTCAGTGGACGGTTCCAGCACTGAAGGCGAGAGTGCCGTAACCGCAGAGCCGGGCTGAGCGGCAGCAGCGTCTCGAGATCAGGCTGGGAATGACCAGGCAGACCCCCTCTGCGTGGGGCTTCTCTTCTCTCCTGAGAAACAGGGAATGGGAACAAGGGCGCCACTGCTGTCAGCCCCCAGAGGGCCTCGGCTGGGCAGAGAAGGTGGCCCCAGGCGAGACTCCGGCCCGGGTGGGGGCTCCACTCTCAACCTCCAGGGCTTGGGACCCTGGCACTCCTTCCACTGAACCAGAGAGCCCGAGGGAAGGTGGGGAGGTCCCAGGCAGAAGCAGACACTGTCCCCAGGCCCTGCTCATCTACAGACGCCCTGCCGCAGGCGATCAGACCTCAGCAGCCGCCCCGCTCAGGGGCCTGCTCTACTGGAAAGTCGCCCGCGGGCCGGGGCAGAGAGCCCGGCTGCTGTGAGCTCAGGACGCAGAAGGGGCGGCCCCGCTACTTACTTCCACCTGAAATACCCGGAACGCATGTAGGCTTGACCTCAAGTCACCCCAAACTTCAGAAAAACGACGATTTGATTTCGGAAAGATGTTCAGTGAAGAGTTTCTAGGTATGAAGGAGAGTCTGCGGAACAACCGATTTTGAAACGACTGCCCCGAAGAGTCTGTAAACCACAGGGCGTGAGGCAATCCCAGGCCAGCAGCGCTCACGTTGGGAGGACAGCTCTCTAAGGCTCGGCCGAAACCCAGCTGGGGTCAGAGGCCAGCCTGGCACCGTCAGGGTCAGGCCAGGCTGGGGCACCCCGGGCAGCCAGCTTCCCCTCCCACCTGGGTGCACCCTCCTCGATCCGGCTCTGCTGCACCAGTGACCGGTAGCCCCACACCCCTTCCCAGCAGCCTCACGCGAGGACACCTGGGCATCCTGTCCCGGCCGTCGACCATCAGAGCCTGGAAGCACCACGTGCAGGGGGCCTGCGCCCACAGGTTTGTCTGGGTGAAGTGACCCAAGGGGCCCAGTGGCCTGCGAGCCCGGGCGGCAGGGCTGCCCTCTCGCTCGCCCCGCTCCCTGCCCGGAAGGAGCCGCTGCTCGGAGAGCTGGACACCAGCACCTCCAATCTGGAACGACTGTCTTCCCAACTGGAGACGTTGGTTTCCAACCCCAAACCAGGAACTTCATTCTGACGTACAGCTGAGCAAGGTGAACACGGAAGATCACTTCCTCTCTAAGAAAAGGACACCGTGGCAGCCCAGACAGAGGCAGCTCCCGCAACCGCAGAGTTTGGTGTGAGTTTGGGAGCCAGGGCATCCCCCATCCGCTGCCGCACCCGTAAGGGCCAGGGCAGGTGCCCTCCAGCAGGCAGGGGAGCCGGGACCGCGGACCCCTCCGCTCACTTTTCACCTTCCCACCCTCACAAGCACCTGGTGCTCAGCGGCCGCTGTGACCCAGCTCGGGGCCAGCTCACTGCCCTGGCCGGCCCGGCATGCTCTGGCCCTCGCTGGGCTGGGCCAGGGTTCAGGGCCCGTGGGACGTTTTCTCCATCAAGGAACCAGGTGGCTGACGGAGTAATGATCCAACCCAAACAGTGCCAGGTTTAAGTTACCCAGGAGCAAAGGAGGCTTTCAAGCTTCAGGCTCTTGCCTGCTAGCCTAGCCCTGAGCCTGAGCGGGAGATGCTGCCTCCGACGCCTGGCGGAACAGGTGTAGGGTGGGGCAGCTGCTGCTCCCCGCCGGCCCCTCTCAGCCCAGTGAAGGTGGACAGAGCGTCCCTCCCATTCCCAGGCCTCGAGAACATCAGATCTGGGGGTTGGGGGAGGACGAAGGGCAGGGGTCCAGCCTGGAGGTACAGGTTCCCACTGTTGCAGCAGAGCAGCAAACCCCAAAGCCAGAGCCACCACGATGCAGCTGCCTCTGCTCTAGGGCCTCTCGCCAGGGACCCAGGGGCCAGGGACCCAAAGGCAAGCGCCCCTCTGGCTGGCCGCACAGCAGGCGCCTGTCTGACAAACAAGCACACGTCGACAAGCTGAAGACAGGTCCCAGAACCAGGAGTGCTCCCACTGCCCTGCCCACCTCCCGACCAGGCGCTGACAGCCCACCCCAGCTCCCCTATACTGGGGGACACCCCGCCAGCTCAGCCCTCACCCAGCCTGCAGGCCGGCCCTGGCTGGCCGCCCTTCGGCAAGACATGACTGTCTGCCCGGCTGGGAGGACGTCTGGTCACCTTGCACTTGCAGTCTGAGGAAGCTGTGTCATCCTGGCTACGTCCAGAGGTGACTCAGGCAGCTGCCAAGCTGACAGCAGGCTGAACGCCACCCCACCCCCGCCACACCCTGACCACCCTTGGGTCCTACCACCCAGCTTCGGGCTGGCCCTCTGCTCCTCTCGCTCCGCCCCTGGGGGTCCTCCTCAGGGTTCTGTGCACTCCGGGGCTCCAACCAGCCCCACCTCCCTGTCCAGTCAGGAAAACCTGAGTCTGCAGGGGCCCCAGAGATGCGCCCTCCCCACACCTGCCCGCCTCCCGTGCCCCTAGCTTGGCTGACGGCCCTCCCGCCTGGCCTCTCCCTCCGCGCCCATGAGCCACCTCAGCCTGAGTCCCCTGCAGGTGCCCCAGACCTACAGCACCACCTCGGCCAGGACCCCCGCATCTCTGTTCCTCAAATGCAGCCCCCTCCGCCAAGCAAGCAGAGGGAGCCCCCCACTCTCCTGGCCACCTGTTGCCAGGCCAGGCCTCTACTCCTAGCTTCTGCAAGTCCCCCCACCTGGGTCAGGCACCCTCACTCTTCTCCAGCTATCCCCTGCTCTCCTCTCCCCCAACCCCTGCTTCACCGGAAAGCCCCCCATATGCCCGCCCTGTGGCGGGCCGGGGGCGCCCTCCTGAGCACACAAGGGCAGAGCCCAAGACCTGGCCCTGGCCTTCCTGTCTCCCTCACTCGATGGGGAGCAGGGGCCTTTCTTACCTACACCTGCTCCCCCCAACTCCTGACTGCATACGCAGATGTATTAGCACTGTGCCTGCAGGGGTCTCCCAACTCCTCTCGGCCCCCCAGCCTAAGGCCCCAAGACAGCACAGAAAAGCCGGTGGGGCGCTGGGCCAGCGCCGGATCTGGGACCCCACCCCACAGGCAGGTGAGGAGCTCAGGGCTCAGTTTCCTCCTGTAAAATGGGGTGTGTGTGCACGTGAGCCCAGACTGTGAGGTTCATTTCTACCTGCTCTAAAATCCTAGGATTTTAAGATGACACTTTCAATTTCCTGAAACGGTAAGAAAGAGGAAACATGACGAGTCCGCGACTTATAAAAAGCAAAAGTAAACACCGGAGCAATGCAGCTCCCATTAGCAGAGCACAGGGGGGCGGGGAGCAGAGGGGAGGGTGAGTCACTGTTTACTGCTCCGAGGCGCAGCTACCAGAGGACGCTCCCCGCTGGCCGGGGCTCTATTTCCCGTGTGGACTGGACCCTAAATCCAGAAAGTCCACTCCAGAAACCTTTAGACTCGGGAACAGCCCGGACACGGGCAGGAACTCCAGGCTGCCCGGGCTGTAAACAAACTCTCCGGCTGCGGCAGAGCCCGACAGTGAAAGCACGTCGCGCGCGGACAAAGAAGGGCCGGAAAAGGACTGCACTCGGGGCAGCCTCTGCCTGGGCGCTGGAGAAAGGGCTGGAACGCCGCGAGCCCGGAGCTGACTTCCCCAAGTAGCCTCGATTCAGCTCCCATTTTTAGCAACCACCTTGAAAGGGAGTGACGCTGGACTTGGAACCTGTCCCTTCAAGTCCAGCTCTGCCCCAGCACTCCAGGGAAGAGCCTCGCTTTGTGTTTCTGAGTTAATAAATGATTTATTTTGGAGTAACCAGAGGTCCAGCTTTAAGTTATAAAAGCAGACACCCTCTACAGAGCTTAACTAAAACATCCCTGCTGCCCCCAGGGAGGGAAGTTCTCAGAACGGTGTCAACTATCCACAGTGCAACAGGTGGCAGGTGCGCCCCACCCACTGCACAGCCCACTTTCTGCGGCCCAGACCCTCCCACCTGCTTAGACCAATGCTTTTTAAAAAGCGCCATCCCCCCGAAAACACGAGACTTGGAGACTGGGCTCCAGAGCCAGAACACAGCTGTCCTTCACCAAGATACCTGTGCAGCAACTGCTATGACAGCCAGATCTCATCGTTGCCGACCAAGGTGGTGGGGGGGGCAGACAGGCCGCCGAGCCAGGCTGAGGGCGCCCACTGATAGGCCACGACATGCTGCTGTGGGCACCCAAGGGCTGAGCTCCCCCCCCCCCCCGGCCAGGGGCGTGGCAAGAGGGGCTGAGTGCTGATCAAGTGCTGAATGAATTGGTGATGGAAGATCCTGTTTCTGCCTTGGCTACAAGGGCTGTGTGGGAGGTAAACAGAGCGTAATCATTAACACCAGACAGAGCAGGGAACTTCCAGCTACCCAACACCGAGCTGCTCCAGGCCCGCAGGCAGAACGGGGCAAGTGCTGCTCTGCGAAGGCCTCCACCACACGTGCTGAGTGAGAACACTACTACGGAGACGGACACGGACACGGAGGCGGAGGGCAAGGCGATCTGCTTTTCTAAGGCAGACCCTGGCCAGAGCCCAACACGTCCCATGCCCTCCCGGGTTCCCGAGAAGGTGTGTGGAAGCAGGCAGACTGACAAACCGTCTGTTTCCTCAACTCGGCAGAAGCCCAGCAGAACCCGCAAGTGGGGCTGGAAAGGACGGAGACCCCCACACTCACACACCAGAAAGATGAGACGCGGGCCCTGGGTTCGGGAAGTGACGCGGTCGCCGTCCCCTCCCCACCCCAAGCTTCCACACCGAGGCCTCCCTCCGGGGAACCCTGGCAAGTCAGCTGCTCAGAAAGTGA